CGCACCAAACAAGAAAGTTGCGCAAGAGCTTGCAATTGACAAGGCGCCCGACTTGGCCCGACGCCAAAGTATTTGCCAACGCGACCGCCGGCTTTCCCGCTTTCCCAGCATTGCTCTTGGTCGCTTCTTTGGTCCGCTCGCTCGTTGCGCCTGGTCGGTTTTTCTATTTTCTTGTAGACTTTTCTTTCTTTTTTTTTACTAACTAGGAGAACATAGTGGTGACACTCTTTCACGGAACAAACGTTCGCGCTATATGCAGATCGGCGGTGTTTCTAGCGCGTATGCAAGCAACGGACTTCGCTATAGTAAAATATTCTTTCGTTAGAATTTTTTTCTATAAAACAATGAAACTAAAACGAGTTTTGAGTTTGATGTATCTCTTGTGCATCAGCGCTAGATACGCAGAGAAAAATAGGTGGTTTTTTCCGCTTTTTTTCAAGTGTTTGTGCTCACCCACCGAGACATGGCCCACCCCACTTTTTTAATGAATTTCAGGTGGTAGGGGGGTGGGCGATGACTCGGGATATTACGGTAAATGCAGAAAAGACTAAAAGAGGCAAAGACGCCGCCTAGACCGAAGCGCACAAGTTTTAATTTAACCGAGTGCAGGCAAACTTAGCAAACTTAAAGCATAATTTTCAGTAAGGGACACATGCAGCTGTGAAAGCTTCATGCACACATATACCCGCGTTCATTCACACTACGAATAGAAGCTTCAAATTGTATATTCTCGTGTATCCATACTTTCTTCTTGTATCCACCTTGACACAATTCAAAAACAAGCAACTTAGATGTCGCTCTGTAGCTTTCACGACTCTAAGACACAGCACATGTACGGCAATGTATGCAATAATAATTCTATGACAACTGTTGCACTGAATATAAAATAATTATTTAGATTTTAGGGTTTCACATTTTCTTTTCTTTGACTTGGAATTAACCTCATAAGGTTTTCGTTCACCTTTCCACAACAGTTTTTCAGCTCAATGTTCGTGCTGCACCAGAACAAGTTCTTCAGCACGAGCTCACTTGTGTGTCCTTCTTCACATGCCTCGAAGTCAGAAGTCTCGTTGGTAGACATCAGTTTCATTGTAGGCTCGCTGACGAACTGACGCTGCATCGGAACCTTCATGAACTCTGCCTGCTTGGAGAGTTGTGTGTCATTGCATTAACGGCGAACATAGTTGGATAAAGCTAACAAGAGAGTATAGTTCTCCTGCGCAAGTGAAACTGTTGCCGTCTTATCTTCAATTGGTAAGAGCCGCCCTGCATTTTTGACATTTCGGCTTTTTCAAAGACGCATAAACTGTGTACCCTGCCACGGAGACTAGGACTGGGAGGGTTTAATTTATCGCTTGTGACACTGACTCACTATGTTGCAGCTGGCTGTGGCGTGTCTACTTGTTTTTCAAGCTCTTCCCATTGCTCGTCTTCACATGGGATTGTCGGCAACGTACTCTGCAGTCACAGCTTATTTTCACCTTCATAAAGCTGCCTTATAGATATGTGATATTGCGAGCCAGCCAGCTGCCTGTAATTCCTGAAACGGTCTTCCCACGTATCAGTCTGAATCTTTCTCAGCAGGACATAGTTCAGCCCGAGTTCAGTGAAGCAGTATTCGGTGATCTGTACAAGTGCACGGGTTGTTTGACGGAGTGCTCCGTGAGTCTCCTTGGTTAGCGTGCCACTGGTAAGGTTCTCGCTCTCCCATATGTCAAGCCAAGCGTCCAAGCCAGTCAGACTGCACAAAAACTGCTCATTGGGATCGTCCACTGCAGAAGCCACTGGTTCTTGAAAGTCGTCTCCGAGTCGCGTTCCTTTGTTCAGCGTCCACGGTAAAATTTCCTTCAGATTTTGAGGCCTCAACGATTTCATTGATTCCTTTAATAATATGTGCCACAGATGTAGGAACAAGAAGGGAATAAAGAACAAAGGCTACAGGCTCCTGGCCGTGGTTTTGAAAACGGTAGTTTGCGCTACAAAGATACGTTTCTAAAATTAAAGGCGAGAGCTAGCTTGTGCTTGTCGCCTTCGCTGCCACGTCAGCGTAAAATTCAATTAAATAAATTCAATAATTAAAAAAAGAAAACGTGAAAAAGATATGAGTTTTCACCCTGGTATGCGTTGATAACCAGGTTTTTTCGAGGAATTGCCTGCACCCATCCTGTTCGCAGTTCTTCATCCTCCGGGAACTTAAACACAAACGCTTTCTTCAAAGACGTTTCATAGTTCCCATGGCACCCAGGGACACAGCATTTATGAGACGTGGCTAGCCCTAAAGCCGCCCGTAACTTGACAACCACCATTCGTTAACTGCCACGCTCACCAAACACAAAAGACAAAAGATAAAAAAAAAAAAAAAAAAAGACAAAAGAGAAGAGACGGTTAGAGAAGTGCGCGTACTCCTGCCGCGAGACTTGTGCAAGATGCCGTGTGCAAAGGAGGCAAAAATTGTCCATTCCGCAACTGCGTCGGGAGAACCCTGGGCTTGGAGAAAGCTAAAAACAAAAACAAAAAAAGGCCGGAGCATGCGCCGCTTGGCGTCTTTGGAAAAACACATTTAAGGAAAAAAAAAAAGAGCATGTGTTGCAGAGAAGCCTTTCTCTCAGGTCGGCCCACTCGTCGTGAATCTGTGACGTTGCAACTCACAGCGATGCAGCCTTTGCTCTAAGTGGTGTTGACAAAGCCCTTTCTGGTGGGAGCGTCGTCTGCTAGGCTATTCCGTTGACCACACACAGCCCTTGCTTGGTAGCAAAGGAGGGCAGGGCGCTTGCAATGTCGAAGTGCATGGGCGATACACCCTCCTCTTGAAATGCGTTCAAAATCCTATTGACGTTAGCCTGTGTAACCCCGACTTTTTTCTATATCCCTTTGCGTCATGCCGCCCATCGACATTCTCACAATGCGTTCCCGTGTTTTTATGGGCCCTCGAGGAGGCATAAATATGTGCGCACGCCCACTGGTCAAAGAAAACCAACCTCGTTGAAGAAAACTGACTACTTGGCTACATGATGACAGCAACAATGCAGTTGATAATACAAAACACCAAGCCAAATCGAAAACCCCGTCTATACTCCATTTCACTTTGTGTTGTACCGCAGCCGACGCTACAAGTTATCTTAAACAGTTCATCGCTAAAAGTGTGTCACGTGGCCTTGCCGTTGGGTACAACTGCACGGGGAAGTAAAATGTCACGTGTCAGGGTGAAAGCATTGGATTGGTTTTGATGCCTCGTAGCATTGTCTGCGGTATATAGCTTAATGCATCGTTGCATTCAGTTTGTCGTGTCACTGTATTTTTCATTTTTGTTGGTGTTCACAAAAGTAAACACAAACATGAAATGAACAAAAAAAGTAAATTAAACTCGAGATGACGCACGGTTTATGCCACGCCTAAGCAGTATCACACAAGCAAGCGCTGTTCAGATCTTTGCTTAAAGACTGTTAGCTATGCCAGCAGATAATGAACAGGGGCTGTGTGCGGTCCACGGAATAGCCTAGCAGACGATGCTCGCAACAGAAAGAACTTTGCAAGCACGCGCTTAATCTCTCCCGTGACACCGCATTTTTCCGCGGCACAGCGCTGGCCGTCCCGGCAGTCGACGCTGGCTTGAAATTATTAAAAATTTGGGCCATTGTACATGTCCATTTCAAGACGCGCTGCACGCCAGTAGCCGAGTTAAGTTGAAGGGAAAAATATACAGTGGAATAGAAATAATATGTATGAACTGGATGTATCAAATAATGTGTCTATAATATTTGATATAATCAACGCGAGAAGAAAAATGTCCCATATACATGCCACAACATATATTTGATGTTTGTGTTTACAGTGCAAGGTCAGCCTACCTTTGAGGAGCGGCGACACTGGTTTATTCTGTAGTGGAGAAAGTTTGGCAGTGCTGTACCCACTTGCTAGCCTGGGGTCTTTAATGTGCATTACACAGGAGCAGGATGTATGTTAAAGTAGTGCTGAAGACAAAACATACTAATTGCATTAACTTTTTTGCGTGGTATTACCGACTTGTCCAATTAAATACAGTGCGAGTGCATTGCGACCTTGCGCTTTTAGTGTATGCATATGTATTGTGTAGACTTCCAAGCTCCATGCTTTGCACAGTGCTAAGGCTTGTTCAAATAGGTGCAATAGAGCCGCGAGGAATAATACAACTTAAATTAACTTCTTTAGCTGTTTCCTAAAATATAAAACAAAAATGTTGAATGAAGCTCCAGAGTAGCAATTCACTAAAACTTCAGAGAGCACCCAAGTCAACAAATCACTTGGGACCATTTTGTCCAGGTTTACGCTTGGTACCATACTGTCCAGGACCACTTTGTCCTACACCCGACGCCGGCATCTTGGTGCTTAGTACAGAGCAGATGCAACTGCCGATCGTCAAGATTCGAAAGTGAGACTTCCTCAGCATTAGATTCGGTGTTAGGAAACTCGTGTAATATTACTTTGCTCAGTCATGAACTGTTAAAACATCTGTAGAGGACGAAAAAGCATTCTTTTGAGACTTCAGATAAAGCTTCAGATAGCAACTAAGATTTTAAGCCCCAAGATGGGCAAGCATTACTCTGAAGCATAGCTTTTGGTGGCTCTAGTCTAGAGGATGCCATCCTTTGTTGTACCCAATGCCGACAGCACATGCTAAAAAAAATTCAAAGAAATCTCCGTAAAAAAAATGTCGCCATAACACAGTCTGAGCAAAGAGTGCGTGCAGGGACAGATTTTCACAAGCTTCAAAACAGAGGAAGGAAAATAAGCGATCAGAACATTAACGACCAGATGTCGTTACCCTAAGCAAAGCGCACATAAAGGCACCCCAGTTTGATGGACTTTTCACATTCGTGCCAGACTGGCGATGGACAAGTATTCAAATATATATATTACTTATTCCAAATTACGAGTTTACCTTCTAAAACGAGCATGGGTGTTCTGGGCTGTAGACTTGCAGGTTTCGAAACCATGTACACGAACAGAACGAAGTGGCACCATGTTTTCTTATACTTTTTATTCTGCACATAAAAATTCACATATATGATCTAAAAATAAAATGACAGTAAAAATCTTGGTATAATAAATACCATTCCAATTGGTTTGAAGGCTGCATGCATACAATAGGAGCAGCGACAGGTGTATGCAAAATCGGATCAGTGCACAGTTCATGCAGAGGGATCTTTGGGAAACAGGTTTTCTTTATGAGAAGCAAGAGGGGGCTTGAGAGAGCAACGTTTGACTTCAAGCTCCAGCTTTTGGATCAGCTTCATCTGCTTGAGGTTTTGCTCCTGCAGTTTGAGGACCTCCTGCAAGAGCAAGAATGCGGGCACGTGAGATGGCGTTTCAAACCAAAATAGTCAAGGCACGAGACACACAACACATCTGAAATTCAAAGCAGATTATGACTACCAAATCCCGACTTTCTTCTTGTTTTAAGTATATTTACAAAACCTTACAACCTTTTGCCCAACCATGTTGCCACCTGGTGGAAGACTGGGTTCCAGGATTTTGAGGACGAAACAATGTGCGCATTAGGAAGAAGAGGGCAGGAAAGTCTTTTACCCATTTCACACGGCAGCTTCAAGGTACTTTTAACTAAGGATCTTTTAGTAAAGAGAGCTGTAGGCCGTCGCACGGCACATAAAGGTCCCTTTAACTAAGGGAGGGCTTATGTTAAAGGGAGCTCTCGCCAACTCGCCTCATCGCTTCACCCATGAACTCGAAATAAAAAATGACTGATATATGCTGTTGAGTGCATTATAACAAATTGAATATTTCCAAGTAGCAGTTATTGGATTAAGCCTGAACACAAGCATGGTGCAATATGCTAATGAGAAACACTCATGCTAGCAGATTCAGCCACCATGTATTCCGTTGAACGTGTCCGTTTCAATATTACAGCCAATTATACAACACAACGGCGTACGCAAATCCAAGCATTGGCATGTGCCTCTCATTTTTAAATGTCTTGAAAGGAGGCATTTTATTTTAGAGTGAATCTGTACAATGCCTGCGGCCAGTGGCTTCTTGTATAACAAAGCAAAACAGTAACTAGAACAAACTAGGTAACGATTTTCGAAGCAGTATTTTACCAGTTCTTTGAGTTTCAAAACACTGTCTAAAACCTTGGGCCCGTCATGCAGCTGCAATGCACTGCCGGTCCGAGGAGGCCAAATGCATAAGATTGCGAACCTTTTCCAGGACAGCATACGCAAATCGTTCGTGGACAAACCTTTCACTTCAAAACAATTCCTCAGCTTCTTCATTGGACCGCCTCAAGGTGCGCTTTGCACCACTCGCTCCAAGCTCATCCGCCATGTAGAAAAAGGCTTTTCTTCCTCGTTTATGCTAGTTCACGTGCTACAAATCGTTACGGCAAGGCTGATACAAAAAGTATGGCCAGTACTACCTATTCACACATTCATCCTCCGTTTATTCACCGTGTGATACTGAATGCCATTTACTAAAAGTACCTTTAGCTAAGGGACCTTAGCTAAAGGTAGATATTTGCTGCCGTGTGAATGGGGTATTAGAATTAACTTGGGGGCAAAAGATAAGCCACAACAGGAAAAAAGGGGACTTTGGGGAAGCCCAATCTAAGTCACTGCAGGACAATGGAGCCAGCAGGATCTAGGTACCTCAGTCGAGGCAGTGCTTGCGCTTGTTTGAGCACATGCTCGCATTTTCATACCAGAATCTCTTAAACTGGCGATTTCCTAAAAAGGTCAATTAATTCTGCATCGGCTAAACCAGTGGTCCTCAAGTGGGGGTCCGTAGACCCTTCGGGGTCCTTGAACGCCTTCTTAGGGTACTGAAAGCCCTCAACCAAACAATATTAAAATTATGCTGACCATCTTGCATGCACAGCAAGTGAGTAAGGTTCTGTTTTAGTACTTCAAAGTAAGTTTGCATACATTGTGTTCTTTATTTACTCTTTTGTTTTCGTAATCGTCCATTATTTCCCCGTCCTCCCCAGTGGATGAGTCCCCCATCACTTCTGCCAACAAAGAGGTCCTTAAACATGAATGGTTGAGAACCAAACTATAAATATTTATAGCCTAAAAGATACAGAATTTTTCGACTCTGGATTTCAGCATGATATGTTTTGTAAAAACCTCTAGAAATCCGCTATGCATAGGTAGAAGTTACGCAAAGTACAGAAAAAGGCATGGGTGCCTAACCCTGGGGAGTACTCAATTAAGCACGCGATTCATAACTCATTGACAAAAGAGTGGTTATTGCTACAACACTGAAAAGGCTACTTGCCGCCTGGTAATGCTGCCGTTCTTCGGTGACTTTGGTGAGGTAGTGGATCTTCTGCTTGTGGTTCTGGTGACCCATCAGCTCGGAGAACTTGTGGTGCAACTTGGACAGCTCCGATTCGGTAGCCTGGTTTCTCTCTGCCAGGTGGCGCCTCTCAACGTCATAAAGCTCCAGCTGCAACTAGAAAAAACAAAGTGCCACCGCACATCGTCATTGTTCGGAGAAAGAAAATGAGAAAACTGTACCCATCAAAATTTTGGGGTTTTACAGGCTAAACCGAGGAAGGGCATCTGGCACACCCCAGCGGAGGGCACAGGATTAATTTCGACCCCCCAGGGGTCTTGATGTGCAACTGAAATCTCAATTACCGGTGCCTTCTCTGCCAACGAGCCTTAATCAAATTGTAAGCACCTCGGCCAGGATTTGAACTCTCCGCCTGGGGACTCGTAGGCCAGCGCTTTTGGAGCCAGGCTCCAAAAGTACTGGTGTGAAGCGAGTTGGCTCAAAATGCCTACACACAACGGTGGAAGCAATTTTATCTGGTGTTCAATCCTTCAGCTGCAATAGACCCTCTTTGAGAATGTGTGCTCTCTGGTAACTGCTCAAGAGTGTGTTATTTTGGGCATGCATTGGAGACGAGTGCTGTGTCAGCGCTCGGTGTGAACTCAAATCTAACTGCACGCTTCACGCAGGAAACAATGACCAAACCATGGCGGCTGCGGTGTTGCACGATGAACCTTTGGAAAGGGTCTGTTGGTTACTGCCAGAAATTATTTTTTCAATTCAAGGAGAGGGGTGAGAATGCATTCTTTTAGAATTTCAGAAGGTGCTTTTACCCAAGTGAAGCGCTAAGTAAGTAACAATCCCAAGGCCCCATTTGGTTTTGAGTCTATTCCTTGCCAAGTCAGAAAACACCATGTTGCGAACCTTCCGATCGTTATTCTGGTAAAACGCTACAGTCCTTTCCCACTAACCTGGAAGGGTGCGACCCTGGCCTGCAGCAATTCATAGTCGTTCTTCCACCTGCATACAAAATACAAAATGGAAGGAGTGAGCATATCAGCTAGCGGCACAGAATTCATTACAACAAAAGTGCCGTATCCAGTGCATCACATAATGTGTGTTAAATTCTTGTTTATGTATATATATGTATATATATATATATATATATATATATATATATATATATATATATATATATATATATATATATATATATATATATATACTCCCTATATGTTTTTTTTTTTTTTGCAATATGTATCCCTTTACAATAGTACCCCAAAAAGGTGTTGCAGGTATCAAATAAACAAATGTCGGCAAATACAAGGGGAAACCCTTGTATTTGCCGGGGAAAGTGGGAGAAAAGTGGTGTAGAATTCAGCCTACAGTTCTGCTCGCAGAGGTAAACGTTTTTATGGCTTTAACGAAGTGCCGAGTTGCACGCTAAAATATAGCGCATTGCGCTTGCCACATAGCATTTATCCAAGTTAAAGGCCATTTCAGAAAGTGTGCCTCTCTTTAAAATCCATGTATAGTGCTTTAAGGCAGAGACATATTCACCTTTGGGCTTCTGCACAAGAGTCCTCGAGTCGTTTCTGGAGTATGCTCACCTCCCTGAAAACAATATAAAAGTTAAAGGGGTCTGAAAAATTTTACCACAATTCTGAGCGATTTGTCTATGGAATCCTTGTCCTTTATGATACAACCCACATTCATTCTTTTGGTTGTCTAAGTTCATTTACTAGCATAAAAGCGAAAATTTTGGCCTCCCAGAGAACTTCCCTCTCGGTCATAAAAAGACATCCAACACAATGCTCAGATACTCTTAAGATAGTTGTCTCACTGAGCTCTAGCATCGCCTATTACACCGCGGGCAACTTTTGGGTGTCGAGCCGTACGCCTATACAGTATGGCGCTTCAGCTACGTGACGTGCTACGAAGGAGTTTACGAAATTGCTCGCAACATCAATTGGTCGAGCTGCAACCCGATACGATCGTCAAAGGACGAGTTGTGAATATGTTCTCACTTCGACTAGTCAACTGCCGATCTGCCCTCAGAAAAAGGAAAATAAAAATGGAAATATGAAACAATCGCCTTTGCGTACAGGTTATCACTAAGAAGGTTGCAGTAAAAAAAAATTAATGGAAAACTCTCAACCATAAAGCCGGCCGTGGGGGAATCAAGACGTCCTATGACTACATCCATGGTAAATAAATGGCACAAAACTTATGTGCCAATACAGTGCAACCCACTTCTAACGATGCAGTGTATAATAATGAACAGCTTATAACAATCAGTTTCCAGAGTTTCTAGACTGGAAATGATAAGTTTCTAGTCCAGATACAACGATAATCGGTTCTATCGATTGAAATTTCGGGTTGTCATTATCGTCATAAGTGGGTTGCACTGTAGTTGAGAGGACACCTGCGCACGTCCCTCCTTGCTATTCATTTTGCGAAGTCCTGGGTTTGAATCCTCTTGGGGTTTATTTTAGTGCTATGTTTTGTTGTTATTCTAATCCACCATGACATTGTGGAACCGCATTCCACAACAAATGTGAGCCACAGTGGGACAAGTAGCATGGCTAAGACTGTTACCAAACAACAAAAACCCCCGACACGTTTGAAACTGGAACTGTATTCCAATCAAGTGATGTAGTGGCATCCAACTATTACAAGAACGCCAATAAACAACTGACAGTTTTTATCACTCTCAATTTATTATTTAAAGGTTAATTAAAGTTGAATACCTGTTCAATTTTTTTTTTGTTGCTGTTTTGTTGCTCGTGCTGCTCTAGGGCGTCGCATGGTTGTTACAGACAGTCCCAAAAATGTGATGTTTAAGCATGGTTCATAAAATGCAGACAATATTTTGCTGCAATACTTCGAGGCCTAATGAATATTTAAAAAAATAAAATCGGGCAGGTGCATTTTATTTTGAAGACCCCTTTAAAGCAGTGAAAACAAAAATGCCCTTGGCAATGAAGTTTACAAATACAATGGTGGAACTGACAAGTGGTGATTAGGAGCAGCTCTTGTAACAGGGTTAAACGGGTTTTGGAGCAGAGATTCCCACTTTTAGAGCAGACAATTTTGAGCTTTCATGTCAAAAAATTTTATACAATCTCTTTGAAAGTTAGCCTGTGGAAAAAACTGCAGTTATTGGAATGTTGGAAGACCAAATAGTAATACCTACCAAGGACCTGGCCTCTGCAATTATTTACTGAACAATCCTATGCCGGCAATTTTGTAGATGTTTCAATTAACCTATTAGGAGTACCGATGGAGTCTTCTGTCTGGGTTTGATGTAAAAAGATGTTTTTGCCTACTGTATAGGGTATACATCAGTGACGCAATTGTTGAGAGTTCGACATCAAACAAACACTTTTGTGTTGAATGTGTCTCGCACTGCCCTCGCTCGCATTCAACTTGCTGCTGTTCATAGAGCAGCTAAGCAGAGCACAACGCTACTCTCACCAATCGCAACGAGTAGTGCTAGCTATTCATTGTGATCGATGTGAGCACTGTTTGCACAAGAACTGATAATTAACTCTTCATTAGGCATGTGCAAATAATGGATTTTGTGTTCGAAGCAAATTAAAAGTGAACTATGGTTTGAGGGAATATTTTTTAATTGAATATTGGAAAGTTGTGGCACATTGTTCCACACATTTTACTACTGTTACACCATGCTTAAATGAAAATTCAGCTGAACTCACGAGGGTTGTTCCCAAGCTCCTAATTGCCCACTCGTGAACTCAGTTAAATTTAATCTAGCTATATTTATAGACTGTAGCCTCAGAATGCCCAGTACCTACATTGGGATGGCAAGGAAACAACAAATGACATAAAATTAAGCCTATAAAGGAGCCCAGCCATACCTAATTGAGGGAATTTATAAATCCTACAAGAAAATATTTTCTTTAATTTCGAGTTAAAAATAAAAATAAAACACAAATAATGAACACAGGTTTTTAGAACATCGCTGCCTAACATATGCCTTTGCATAATAACCACAGTTAAATGCTGATATTACTGCAATGTAATATCAACAATCGCAGTTTTCTATTTTTTGTTTTAATACGCCAGGTGCGTGCATGCACCATACTAGTTTGAAGGTGCGTTTTTCTCCTAAGTGTGCGGCTGCGCTGCAGCGAAGCGAGTCGCGAGATCGCTGTGTCTGCTCTGCGGGTATTGCTTCTCCGCAGTGCACCAGTGCTTGAGAAGCTTACTCAAGGGGGCTAACTCGCTGCAATCAACACTTCGAAAAGTATTAATATCGTAGTAATGTGGAAGCGAATATCAGATAACATATTATTTGAAACTACTATTAGAAAATTAGAATATTCATGCAGCCCTACTCTTTGCACATAATACTTAGGCATAAAAAAACTGTACTTTCTTCATTTTCAGTGGCATCGCTAAAAATGCCACGTGCAAGACACTTTCAGTTTCCTTTTCGAGAACAGCTTCCTTTTGGCACAGACACTGCGCAAATTGTGCACAAAGGCTGTCTTTGGAGCAGCATGTAGCAGGTAATTCGTTCTGGCAGTTTGGTGCAATTGGCACAGCAGTTCCACCACTGCAAATAGAACCTCAGCTATATCATAGGCAGTCAGACAACACCCAAGAGTGCACAGTTTCATAGCAAACATTTCGAGAACTGCACGACAGGCACAAATTGTCACAATACCGACCACCAGACTAATGAGCATACAATAGTATCCACACACTTAAGAACAGAGGAAAATAAAAGTGGGTAGTGTACTCACGTGCGATCCTTTTTGGAGTAGTCCTGGAGGTCCTTGCAAAGCTGGCGATTCTCTTGTTCCAGCTCCCGGCTAACAACCACATACTTCTTGGCCTTCCTTTCCAAGGTGGCGATTTGTTCCGCCTTCAAATCAGACGCTTTGCGCAAGTCGTCACACGCCTTGGCCAAGTCTGTGCGTTCGGCAGCTGCGGCACGCAGCTCTGCCAGCGCGCACTCCAGCTTCCCTGCAGTCCTCGCCTCCCTGTGCTCGGTTTCTTGCACCTGACCCAGCAGCTGCTCTTGTGACGACTGCAGCTCAGTCAGAGCTCGGACCCCCATGGCGATTTGAGTGTGCAGAGTTGCACTGCAAGTGCGTTCCTCTTCAAGCTCCAGAGCCACGTTATGAAGTTGCTCCCCGGTCTCTCGTTCCCTGTTGTAGGAAGCAGAGAGGTCGCTCAGCGCCTTGCCGAGCTCCTGCTGCAGGCTCCGGGATGCACCCTTCAGCCGCTCCACTTCTGCTTGGAGGAACACCACCTGCTCTTGCATCACCTTCTCTCGGGCTTGGAAGTTCTCCTCGAGCAGCCGCTGTTCTTCCTTTAGAATCCTCAAATTTGTATTGAGCCTCTCTCCTTCTGTCGAGGCGACATCGGCTCGATCCCTTTGAATCGACACTTCCTTCTGCAACTCCTCCTTCTCAGCAACAAGTTTGGTCACCTGGCCTTCTAACGAAGACTTGTCGCTGCGGAGCGTGCAAAGTTCAATCCCCAACTTGCTGGTCTCGGCAGACATAGTGTCGGCGTCCTTAAGAACTGAAGCGAGATCTTCCTTGATTTCTTGCTTTTCTGTCTCCACCACTGTGAGGTAAGCCTTGAGGGCGATCAATTCCGCTACCAAGCAGTCTTCTTTATCTGAAGCGCACGAAAGTTGCTCCTTCAGTTCGGTGATGGTGTCCTTTGCCTGCAGGAAGACGTTTTCGGCGGCTTCACGATCCACAACAATTTCCTCGCATTGTGCCTTTACCGTGGCTAGTTCCGATTCCAGGGAAACCTTCAGCGACATCAGCTTTTCGAGATCTTCGCCCAGCTGAAGGTTGACTGCTGTAGCTTGAGCCTGCTCGGTCCTTTCGTGCTCCAGCGTCTTGCTAACCTCGGCAATTTTATCAGTTTTCAAGCGAAGCATTTCCTCGAGGCACAAAATCGAGGCGTTGGCATTATCGACGTCTTGTTGGAGTTTTTGAGCAAGCTCGGTTTGTTGTTGGGCTGCTGCAGTCTGCTCGATTTGCCATGTAGTCATCTGATTCTGAAGCTGTTCTTGTTGCTTCTGGATCTCTTCCTTCTCTTGTCGAAGAAGCGAAATTTCAGCCATGAAGTTGCTCACTTGCTGCAGCAGTTCATCGTGCGCCTGCTCCTGATAGATCCTCTCAGCAGACACCATCTCATCTGCAAAAAAAATATTTTGCTCACTGCATCAAAAAAAAAAAAAATCCAACGAACAAAAATTGTTTTTTAGCTATCGGCAAGGTGGGAAGCATAAAGACACCTCTAATGAGTAAAGAGCAGGAGTAAGCAACATTATTTTCAAGCTTTCAGGTGAAGAGGAAATTCAGGTTACCTGAAGACGCTAGTAAACGCTAAGCAATGTTCGACCGAATGGGCCAGTTTTCATACACATGTAGCAGAAATTGGGTTAACAGGCTAAAATGATTAGTGTTGGTATTAGTCGACAGGCAGAATGCATGCTCTGTTTGCAGATGAGTTCCTCAGGGTCAGCACTGCCACCATTTCCATCGTTTCACCAGCATTTCCCACAAACTAGCCAAAATTGGAGACTATCAAAAATAGTAAAACGACTGCTCCAATGCGAATGCGTATTTCAGCACGGAATATGCTTTCCACCACGACGGCAGATCTCGCTTATTTTATGAAGAGTGCACGGCCCGAGCCATGTAGCACAGGTCGTTTCCGGACCCGGGCCGAGCCCAGGCAAAGTAGTATTATTGTTTCTGGGCCCGGGCCTGGCTGAGGCCCGGAAATACGCGAATGCTGAAGATTTCAAATTTATTGTGACTTTAGTTCATACTGGACTGCATAAAAACTGACTTGTACATGTCCCACAATGTCTCGAAACTTTTCTTCGCCTTTGAACGAGTGCTATGAAGATCCCCATCTTGAATTCACATTTTTATGCCGACACAATGCCATGACACCATCTTTCATGCCAATTAGGCTAAACGAATCAAATGCACCAACACCTCCCAAAGGCAGCTTTGAATTTAAGAGATGAGGCATGCCTTGGCCTCTCACCGGGCCGGGCCTGATCAGGTAGGCATCTCATCGGGCCTGGTACGGACCGGGGCCGATACCAATGACAGCATCAACATTGCATCGCACGGTGCAGCGCTGCCCGCTCGGACTTCCTCTATGCGCGCGCAGTCTTGACCGCACCTGCACCTTTTCGCAGCCGCGTTTCTCGGTCTCGTGCCCGACTCTGTTCGGCTTCTTGTCAATTGAAAACTTATTCGTGTCCAGAGTCACTATACACAAACTCGTCTCTGTTACGTCACGGCGCGGTGATGGCGCGTCGGTCGCACTTCCGGTCTGGGGCTGTGGGCAGAAGTCCCCATGCGAGACGTGTATTCCTGCGTTGTTTTGAAAGGAACCAGACAAAAACCAGCCTTTTTGTCAAAACGCCGCGACTGGGGCTGTACCAAAAGTGTCGAGAAAGGTTTGAAGGTCAGTTTTTACGTGCTCGGTTCGTCCAAGAATCTGGATATGTGCTGTAAAAAGGGAAAAGCAGATGCCGTCGGACAACGATTGCTTGTGCGGGAAGCACTTTGGGTTGAATTCACGGATACTTGTGGTCATTAGATTTATTTGTTTTGCTGCAACATGAACGCTGGAAAACCGTCAAATCGTGCGGACCACCTGCGGACTTTGTTCAGTGCGTCTTCAAGTTCAAACGGCCGCCCGATCGTTTAAACTGTCGTCTGCTCTTTCAAACGTTTCTGCTTGTCGTCTGCTCTCTTAGACGACGCCGGCCCGTAGACCAAATGATGGCCCGGTACTTGCGATAAGAAGCAAGTGCAGGCCTCAAAAGACTTAAATTTGAAGGTTGGTAAGCAGGCTCAATGTAAACAGTAGATACAAGGAGATGTTGATCATTGTTACCAGTGACCATCACCGATGGTTATGCCTAATTCACTTGGTCCGATTCTGCTTGCGATTTTCAGTATTGACGTCGACCATCTTGGCTACGGTTCACGCTTCTGCAGCCCGAGCGACGTCGCGACTGAAAATTGCGAGCAAAATCTCATCATGCGAATCAGGCTTTAGCGTTCGTACTGCGGCGTCCACGCGGAAGGAATCGCCACATGTCACATTATTCACGCGAAGTTTTGTGGTGTAACGAGCCTCGGTAATTTCGCTGACGCCGCTCGAGATAGTCATCGCCAGAAAGACGTAGAATCAACACTTCGAACGCGAAAAAGGGCAGGGGGACTCACACCGACGCCGACAACATCGCGTTTCCATGGTTTGTTTATGGGCGACGGCGAGCTTCTTGCCCACACCCCCATCGCGCATGCGCGGCGCTGGTGGCGTCCGCTAGGGTCGCTCCGGTTTGTTTGTAAACATGAGTTGGTGTATAAGTTCTTACGTCGTATGACCCACAGAAGTTGCTCAGAGCTGGGAGGGTCAATCGTGCCCCCAGAGTTGTAGGCTGACAAAACGGCAACACACCGCCACATTTTTCGTTTTTCTGTGCTAGAATATGGCCCTACAAAGTGCTTGTATTCTCGACTGTCCCGAAAGTCCCGAAAGAACCACGAGACAACGTTCACTATACTCTGTTCCACGATAACTGTGGAGCCTACAGCCCCCGCAACCCAATAAGAGCGTCTGAGCGAGGCACGTGACATCACGTCGTGGGAGCGTGTGGGTCGCTTCGTTGAGGAACCAGCTGTCGTCTGCTGGCCAAGAGTCGGCTGCTGCAAAACTAAGAACTTCGGGTGAATGTCCGCCGTCTCAACGTTGCCGTCCGCTAGAGTAGCAAGCTCTTTGGGAACAGTTCATGAGACAATTGTATGCTCAATTCACCTGCAAATTTGTGGCGGGTACTAATTCCAGGGCAACATTTTAAAGGGACATTGAACCGAAATTCGGAGCTTACAAAACAAGACCGGAGCGATAAGCGGGACGCTGCAAAACCCAGAAACATCACTCGCACAGCGATCTCTAACAGATGGCCATATTTTTGGAAAAGTGCACGATCAAACACAACCAATAAGGCCGAAGAGACATCCGACGTCACGATTTTCATTCCCTCTCCTCTTTGCCTCGTCCCCTCAAGCTGGTGAACCGAAGTGAGGAGGATAAAAGCAAGGCTACTTCCCCTCGTTCTCAACTGTTCCAGGAGGATTGAGACTTCAGTCATTGTTTGATCGTGCCCTTTTTGGAAAATATGGCTATCCATTTGAGATATTGATGTACCAGTGATGTTTAGGAGTTCATAGTGTCCCGTTCAACGCTTCCGAGGCCTTATTTTTCAAAATCCCTTTCAAGCGGAAGTGGTCGATTACACGGCTACAATCGCCACCAACGACAAAACTACATTAAAAGAAAAAAAATCAAAATTTGTTAATATTTATTGCTCATTTTCTTTTATATAGTGCGACCCACTTATCATGATGCAACACTTAGTAACGATCAGTTTCTAGAGTTTCTAGACTGGAAATGATCAGTTTTTAGTCCAGATACAACAATAAATTTTGTTATAACGATTGAAATTTCGGGTTTTCTCATTATCGTTATAAGTGAGTTGTACTGTATATCCATAATAGATGGAATTGCTAGAGTTCAATTGCAGTTAAAAGAAGAAAGAAGCCTGGAACTACTTTCAGTCGTAGGCAGCGCTGTTGCTGTGGCGGTAACGGTGCCTCTGTGGCCTAGAGTGTAGACTGTCACCATAAGACTTGCTCCGACGCTCTTATTGGGTTGCGAGGGCAGCAGCCTCCACAGTTCACCAAGTTACCACGGGACGAAGTATACTGCCAGCAATAGGTAAAGCCTACATGAAAAGTATTTTTTGCTCCTATTATACAAGATTGCTCTTCGCTTGCCTGCGGATCGTTAGTCTTGGGATCGAGATTATCACTGCCGTTTTTGCCAGCGCATGGAGGGGGTCCGTGTTAGCGCCGACGGTGGCCCCAAACATTTTCTACGGCACTGTGCTCAAAGTAAGTTGACATAGGTTAGCAACTGCTACATGGGATATCTACGCGAAATGCCGCTGCCAAGAGCCTCGCTGTGGCGCCACTTCTTGTTGCACGCTTCCAATAGTCAACGACAAGGTAAGAATGTCAGGGTGTCTTTCAAACACCCAACCTCTAGCGCAGGCTTGCTGCCTTCTGGCTTGCTTCGGCTGCACGAGCGAGACGACCAAGCGTTATCGTAGGTAGGGAAATTGTGCTGCAGGTGGGACAACTGCCGTTCACCCTCTGTCTGCGACTTTAGAAGTGGTTAAAGCGGGCAGCACTTCCTCACGAGACGTGATACAGACGCCGTCGGTGGTGGCACCTGCAACCAACTGCCAAGGTGCACTCCCTTTTAGGTGCACCTTGGCAGTTCCATATATACGCATTGTTTACTCAAATATAAGAGCCGACATTCGCCAACCGCCAAACGGAGTGGACGGAGCTTCGTTTGTCAAAACCCTGCCTCTACGAGCGAGACAATAAACCTGCGTACAAAGCAACGCGATCAATTATTGTGCCGGGACCTCACATTTGTATTCATCCGCATTTCAATGCGAAGAACGGTGCCAAAGAATGAGACCTCCAAAAGCGAGAATCGAATCGAGCTTTCACTTTCCACACGGGCGAGTCTACCATCTTAAGCTTTTACTCTGTCCCCACACATGCATAACAAAATGAGGCTGCCGCCTTCTTTGCCGACAAACAAAAACCGTGGAGCTCCGCGAAAACGCAGCCTACCGACCTTGGTCATCCCGGTCGCGGTCTGCCGCATCTGCGTAGCCGGTCTCGTCTTCCAGCGACTCCACAAAGACCCTGAGCTCTTCCCTCAGCTCCTGCGTGTCCTTGGTTAGCCTGAGCTCTGTGGTGCACTCCACAGCATCTCTCGAAAGCACGTCGGCCTCTGCAAAGCTCTCGGCAGCGCCGTCGTCCGGTCCGGGCTGTCTTGAGAGGGCCGCGTTTGTGGTGTTCTTCATGCTCCTCCCCATCTTCTTCATGTTGCGCAGGAGCCCCTCGAGCTGGCCGACGTGCGCGGACAGCTTGTTCTTGGAGACCCGCAGCTGGGAGATGAGCCGGTCTCGGTCCTCGAGTTGCTGTAGCAGCTCCGCCATCTTGCGGCGCAGCTTCTCCTTGGGCAGCTGAGCAAGGGCATGAAAAACGGCAGAAAATCGCTTCAATGTCTGACAATATATATTTTCTTTTGAGTGTCTAAATTGGATGCATGCCAGAAAACAAAAAAAAAACATTTTCCTAGGAAAATGATTTTTGACACAATATTTAGCTCATGAAACCTGCTTCGAATTAGGAGCGATCCAGAAAACATGCTTCCATTTCAAGATGTCGACGCTGAAATAGACTACTGGTAGGCTTTTTGGAATCGATAAGACAAGTTTTGCAACATAAATAATGCATTAACTTATTCTTTTTATTTTTGTTGGGAGAGTATTTTGTGGCAGGTGTGTTTATCCGGACACTAAGGCCCGCTTCAGACGGGGCAACTTTTCCAGCAATTTTGAGGTTGCTGGCGGGTTGTTCCCTACCTTTCCTTAGATCGACACGAATTGCTGAGATCGGGTCCGGCTCGAAAAGGACGAGCAACTCGAACAACTTGGAGCCGTTTGAAGCGGCAGCAGCCAATCAGGGACGCGATATTTTCACATGACACCCCCGTGGTGGTGATGATGACAGCTAAAGACTTGGTTCTGGTTTGAAATCGATCGTTTTTGGAAATAAACCTTTTCAGAAAGATGAGTTGGTATTCTCAACGCCATTCAAAGATATAAAAACACGCTTTTAGCGCGTAGCTGGGCGTCTAAATAGTGTAAGAAAATTCAAAGTGAATGATGATGATAGCAAGTCGTAGCAATTCGGTTGCTGCGTGTGAACGCGAACGGCCCGTGTTGCTGGAGTTGCGACGTCAAGTTGCTGGGCGAAATCGCCCCGTCTGAAGCGGGCCTTAGAAAAAAAAAAAAGTGCTTTAAATTTTATTTGAGAGCAAATGATATAGAAAGAGGCTGCAAGTTCTGCACAAGAGCTTTGAGTGACCAACAAGCAAAAGGACGAAAATGTGCTTTTCCTTGGGCAAAACCAATTACACTGCACGCAAGGATTTATGAGCAAAGCAAAGCGATGCAACAAACATGTTGCTGCCCAGTATACCCATTTCATTCTCTCAATAACCGTAACACCCATTTCTAAAGTAACCTCCGACCGTAGCTAGCTTTGAGATATCAAATTTAGAACTCCAGAAAAGTACTTTAGATATGAATTTTGGCAAAAAAGGCCAGTTCCAAGCCTTTTCCCCAAAGTTTGGGTGGGTATAAGTCCTGCGAATCTTCATGGTGCAATCAATGTGGAAGTGTTTGGAGTTCCTGCAGCTGGCATTTTCGTAGCTTCATTGATGGGAGACTCATCGTCAGGGATGCTTGCAGCATTTTGGAGTGAACATCTACAGCCACCATTCGTTAAAGCAACAAACTGTGCTCCCTGCCATCAAACTACTCGGCAAGGTATACTGGCTTAGGTCATGCTTCTACTGTGCACGAGCTCCCACTGCAGAAGTTGAAGCTCGCATGCGCCAAATCACCGTCTGGGCCTATGGTGCAACGTGGGTCATTGGTCACCATAGTCGGTAACAAGGTGAGGTCACCCTAACAATATCCCACACTGCCTGGTGATACTTACAAAAATACAAAGGGGAAGGACATTGGCTCAGAATGGCGAGGGGAGGAATCCTACTCTTGGCTTCCACTTTAGGTGGTGCAAGCCAGAGCCATATATCTAGAGAGTATGGCCATTCGTTGGGAAGTATAGGAGACAAATGAGGAGACACCATTGGCCGAAAGCGGGCTGGGTGTGCTCCAAGGCGTTTTCACAAATTTGAATGTGCCCAACCAGAAGCCGAATATAATACCCTGGCGGTGGTCGCAAGAAACAAACTTAACAAGTGCGTCGGAGTAACTCTCGGCGACTGAAAATATGGTGCACGTAATGTTTCAATCATGGTTATCCAAAATCATGGTGGAAGAGCACGACTAGCGGAACAATTGACATAACATGTACACCAAGCGCCAAGGGCCGGGAATCTGCCGTCAGAGCAAAACAAAATTGAGCGGCACATTCGTTTCTCTTTCTGCATGATCATGATCAACACATCATGTGCACCCTATTTTCAACCATAGAGGGTTACTTAATTTAACTCTTATGCTCTTATTAAAACAATTAAAGCTGTTTTTCGTTACCACCGCTAGGGGATTCTTTTTGGCTTCTGGTTGGCCAAGAGAGCATGCAGGGGTGGAACTCATGAAATGTACTTGGGAGCAGCCACGGGAGCAGCTGAAACAGCTGTTTTGGAGCAGGTTGGGAGCAGCTAAAGCTAAATTCTAGAGCAGGCAAGGTGCAGCTCAGATCAGTTTTTATTGCGCTTCAGCTTGTGTCTTAGACAAGCAGGGGATCAATTTCAGTTGTGCTTAGCAGCAGATATGAACATGGGTGGTCAGGAACCTAGGTTGTTCAAATAACAGTGTAACAGATGCAAAAACTTGAAAGTTTTTGAGCCTTGATGAGAACCAAAGAGTAAGTACCATAGGTTTCTGAAGATAGTGTCATTGATATTTTCTGAGTGGCTTTCAGCTGCTCAAAATGCTAACCAGCACTGCTTATCGCACAACCCACAAAGCTCGACATAGTAATTATATGTGCGAACCACGTGACGTGCGTAAGCAAAGGGCGTGCGGTTGCGTGGAGGAACAGAACAATAAATTTCGAGTTTATTCTATTGTGCAACTCAATATCGAAGCAGTAGACTACGATTAACGGAGCTACCATATTCGAAGCGATAAGCAGGTGCGAGGTTAAAGTACGCCGAGCAGATTTACCGCTCGCGTGAGAGCTGCTGGCCAACAAGGTTTCGGATCGGACCGCGTTTCGGTTCTATCAAGTCACGATTTATCTTGCGGGAATGCGGTTCCAACTTCTAACGATGAAGTACTAAAAGGAATCTTTTGCTCATTTGTTTCCAACTGGGTGACGTCCGGATCCCGGGCAGCAGAGCCTCAGGCAATCTGACCATTAACGACTCGACCTCACCTCGGCCGACTTGCTTAACCACTCATGGTTGAAGAAGAACAATCAAGTCGCAGCTGTTGCAGGGCTTGGAATCCGCCCCCGAGTTTTTTCGCGTGCTTCCGACTCGGGATACACAGGGAGAATAAACAGAACAAAGGATTGCAATGTCGACCAAGCTAAACACGCTCATTGTTGGCAATCGAGTCGATGGAAACCGAAACCAAGGCAAGATAAAATTTTTTTTGGCGCACGCTTTGCGATGTGATGCGTAATGGCGCAAGGTATTGGCTGTGGCGCAGTTTCTGCAACATGGCGCAGACAAATGCGTCTGGTGCAAAATGGCGCAGCCATTCCACCCCTGAAGCATGTCAAGCCCTCTTTCTGCATCTGGTGCACACCGTGGCTCCGCCCGTGCCTCCGATTGACCAAACTCTCTCTACAGACGGCTCTGGTGCAAGCTACCTCCCATTATAAAGGGTACAACTGTTAGCATCGATCCATTCATCCAGAACGGCAGGGAAGAGGTTTAGTTGTCCTGCCTCCAGCGCGAGCTTTCTACCTTTGGCAACACTTCGGCGTCTAGTGCACCTCTAGCGCACACGTGCAGCCAAGGCCCATAGCAAGGCATGGAGAGTGCTGGAGGCCGTATATTCAAAAGACATGCCCTGCAGTTCTCGTTTTGTCAGGGACTATATACAAGACATTAACCTCGCACAAACATTGACACGGAGCTTCCAACGGCTGGACCACGCATTGTAAAACATCCAAGAAGGCATGCGGTCAGTATTAAAGCACACTAACATGCATGGGTGTTGTGGGAGCCTTGAATGGGGTTCCACATGCTGATGCAGTTCCAGCAGATCCTGAAATGCAACATGAAACATATACACTGGTGCTTCTCCACAACAATTGTATATTTTCTCTTTCACGCTGAACCCATGTAAACCAAAATATTCAAGAATTTAATTCTTCGAGTCAGAGACATATGCAACACTTGCTTCTAATGTAATAAAATGGAGTAACCAGCATGGAAGAACCACTTCTAATCTAATCTATTGGTGGGAAAAGAACAATTTTCATGGAGTAGCACTAAAAACAATAAAAAGCTGGCTAAAAAAACAAGAGAGATAGCACAATGACAACTGCTCCAAGATCAATCGTGGCCGATAAATACTGTACTGATTATATTTAAATTTACTACAGGCCCATGTATCCACCTTTGCTGAATCTTCACAAACTATCATGCCAAGCCCAAGCTTTCATTAAAGGGAATTTCCAAACCCGCGAGTGAGGCATACCAACAACGTTCGATCGGTTCAGGTCAGCTGCATTATCGGGTTGTATCTCCATGCAAGCGCCACTGAACATCGATAGGAGCTTGTCTTACCCGAGTCATGTCTGAAGCGTTCTGCTGCGAGAAATTTCGCACACAGCGCATTGTGCTTCTCCTTGGGTGTGTAGTCTCCCACACCCGGGCCGCACACTGCAAATGGTTACGGGTATTATGTATGAACTCCCAAAATATGAAATTGTACAACTTCAGATGTCTATGAAGGGAGGGGGTATATTGCAACCACCATCCATCTGGGAAAGAAAGACAAGGCAATTAAAGCAGCCAAGAAGCGCGATTCCGGAGGAGGGTTACCCAAAAGCCAGTGGCATCTGAACAAGGGGTAGGGGTAGTGGCATAGCCATGGGGGGGGGGGATTATGGAGTCAGCCCTACACACAGTGCCGCATTATGGCATTTTTGGGCCCTCGGCCAAGGATGTTATAAGTTCTCTGCTGATAATGATGACCATGGCAATGATGGGGATGGAGGAAACAATTACGCCTCCATTATGTACATTTCACTATCTTGCAAAATTTAAACTCTTTTCATTGTAAGATTTTTTTTCGTCTTCTAGATTTATGAATCTAATGTAATTCAAGCTTCCCTTGCTGGCAATGAGGCAAAGTTTGATTGCTAATGAGAATTTGCTTTGCAAATAACCAACTGCTCCGGCACATTGTAGTATAGCTTTTATGTATAAAACTCAAATCAATAAAAACGGGGGAACATATTCAGATGTTTGATTCACATCCAGCAGCTTCATAAAGAAAACTAAAGAGCTTCCATTTTACGAACAATAAGTTGTCGAACCACCCCTTTGTTCAGGGATTACTGACATGAACAGTAAAAGGAGCAACACAAGCAAAGAAAATTTCGCTGGTTGAGGAAGTCTTGTTGTTTCCGAAAGCCACCTCATCCAAGCTCTTGATAACTGAGCCCTTGTGTGACAAACATACTTCTACATCTAATCCACAAGAGAAACTGCATACCATTCTGACGCAATAAACCCTGCTGTTCGAGCACATTGACATTAAAAGAATATGTGACGAAAATCGAGATTCAACATTTTACAGAGTGTACACATGCTGTAAAATGTGTCAATCAGTTCTAGTAGTCATCTCATTACTTCCAAATATAGTAATTTAGTGGTCATTTGGATGTAGTTAAAGAATAAGGTCATACCTCAAAGGTTGGTGAAGGCATTGTAGTACTCGTATCAGTCTGAAGAAAAAGTATGCACTCACACTGGCAAATCCAACACCAACTCCAGAGCAATTGCTTGCAGCCAATGGTTATCGAAAACTGTTGCGGGGTGTCATCTTAAGAACAGGATTTTTTTTTATAGGCGTCTGTCGGTGGTTATGGAGTCCGGGTCCAAAACGTGTACCACCATCTCTTTGCTTGTTATAAACTTTGCGTTCTGGCGTAAACTGCACATAAACTTTAATCAAATAAAAGGTTGGAAAAAAGTCTACCATATATGCTGCTCAAGCAGTCTTTAGCGGCACTTGCTTAACTACAGGCCGGCCATTGTGCATAAAACATGCCAAAAAGGTTCCAGCACAAAAGAGAATGCCATGGCGGTCGTTCCACCAAGTCTCAATAAGGGACTTGAACGGGGCCGCCAACGTTGACGGCTTTGCCACCTCCGACGAGGGGTAAGGGAGGCCGCATTACATTCTGTCGCTTTGGCATGCTCTTGTACGAAGAGCAAGCTCGCAAACGCCAGCTTGTATAGAGGGAGCTCCGATAAAAAGGGAAGGAAACGAGAAAGCCAATGCCCACTGAAAACAAATCTTTCCTTTCATCATAAAATGTCTTGTCTCTGTCTCTGATAAGATTTATCATTTTAACTCTTCTCTCAGTGATTCTTTCTTTTTGCCACCATCGTATACTCCTTCCCACAGCGACACCCAGTACAAGGTTGGCGTGCCAAGCAGCCACACTAATTTACATTTCAACTCCTTCATTCCCAAAACTTGCATCTACTGGAACCACCTCCCTGCCCCCATTGCCCTGATCACCGACACCGTCCGCTTCAAATGTGGCAACTGTAACCATTTTTTGTAACCGTGCTGTTGTGTTTATGATGACGTTTATTACTACTGTGTGTTTATTTCGCCTTTCCTCTCTGTAATGCTAAGGCCTTGAAAGTAAATAAATGAAATGAAAAGAAAAGGCCCTTCGAAGTATCCCTTCTGCTCTCCCCAGGTTGTCAGGCGGCCAAGGGGGGTGCTGACCCCGGAAACTGGAAAAAGTTGTTATTCGTTTTTCATTTATGATGGCAGCCTGAATCGACTAAAATTGATAACCACTAACATTCTGACATCCTGGGGCCCGGGCCGCAGTTCCTTCAGCCCTCAGCTTAACCGGGCCCTGCCTACACAAATACTTTAACCCCCTCCGTACCCGAAGTCATGAATATCCCGGCCCAGCTCAGCGCCCCCGAAAATAATTCCTGGCTACGCTACTGGGCAGGGAGCCGGCTACGCTACTGGGCAGGCAGGGAAGGGGGGGGGGGGGGGGGGGGGGACAGTTTTTGGCCAGTCTTCACAGCGCGGTAACACTGTGCCACTGATATTAAACTGTTGACGCCTTGGCACGCGAGTCGTGGTATTAGCATACACGCACGCACGCAAGCACACATGCACACACATAAAAGGACCACGGCACCTCGATTCGCTTTGTGCCGTCGAATCGAGGGGGCGTGAATTATTACACCTCGACATTACGCTCTGCTAAAAGCAAACTAACGCACATGCACAAAAAGATACGTTCGACGCAAGAACTATAGGCGGAAATGAAACGTCAGGAAACTAGAAAACAGCGAATGCAGGAACAGAAATGGTCATGAGAACGCAACTGCCAAATGCGCAACACGAATATGAGACGGAAGCGATTTTAACTAACCTTTCGGTTCCGTGAAACGCTTGGCCCGTGGAAAAGACATCGTAAAATAAAAGATAACACCTCACGCTAACATCCACTGAACTTGACACAGTCAAACTCAAACCGCCCGACTGCTTTAAAGATCCGCACAATTTTCAAACTACGGAAGAGACGGCCACCAACACCAACGGCTTTATACAACCGCCGTTTTCCAGTGCACCAATCAGAAACGTGAGGCGGAACAACATAAATTATAGATATATTTTGATCAATAATTTTACGCTGAATTGGGTGGTGATGCGCGCCTCGTTGCGACGCATAATTCAGTGTGATGTATCACGGGAATTGCGATTTTGCAGTCGCTTGTTTCGGTATGGTGCCGCGCACAAATAATTCCTCATTGATTTTTAATAACAGTACCGACGAGATAAGTTATGTTTCGTTTGTTTTCGGTCTGAACTCTGTTTTCACGACAAAAACTCGGGCAGCTTTGTAATGCCTCCGCTAGATGCCCTCAGCCTCGGTGCTGTATATTTAAAAAAAAAAAACGTTAGCAAGTCCGGCTTCAGGGCGCTGTCATCTTGCCTGTCTGGGGTGCGCTTGGACCAGTCATAATCCGATTACGAAGCCTTGCTAAGGCGTCGTAATCGGATTATGGCCGCTCCCGAGAGCGCACCCCACTGAGGAAGATGGCGGTGCCCTGAGACCGGACCTTTCCAAAGAACACTCGACCCCAGGGGCAACAAACCGTTTTCGAGCCGAGTCACTGAGTTTGAGGCTAGACTCTCACCGGCGTCCCTCCTAACCCTAACCGAGTGGACTGTGATTTCAATAGGCGCAGCCTGCGTAGGCGCACTTTCAAACGCTGCTGGCGGCTAAATTCTCGTCTTTTCCCGCTATATTTTGTGTTTCATGGTACATGTGTTTTCCCGAGGACATTGAGAAAGCATTGTGCCACATTTAAAAGAACAAAAAAGCAAAAAAAAAAAAAAAAAAAAAAACCTCTAATCTACTTTTGTTGGGTACGGGCGCGACAGAACGAATGCGACTGGAATGTATAGCTCTAGTTATTTTTTTTTCTTGCAATAAGTTTTGAAGGTCCCGCGGGATTCGCCGCATGTTAAACGACAAAGCGCTTTGCTGTCAAAAATAAATTGCAACAGAAGAGGGCCGAAAGGCATGCATTTTTCACGCTCACAATTAACGTGTTTACCGATGGACAGGACATGACAATATATCGTACGTACCACACGATGCAGCGTTATCCGAAAAGAATTTATTTGAGAAATATCTCAAATAACACAGTCACAGTCGACGACAGTCACATCTTGGCGTTCAGACGGAATCCGAGATGACTTCGTTTTGGGGCACGTTTTGGGGAGAGCTTTTTTTCACAACTGCACCAAGGCAAAGAAACAAACGCGACTGACCCGTTTCTCACCCCAACCCGGACAACTATTTTTGGAGATGACTGAGGATTCTACGCGGATTATCTCTGGGAGGGGGGAGAACAATGTTCGCAAAATCGCGTCGAGGGTCGTTCGACGTCCTTCACCTCCTTCGTTTCCCGTGAATTTCGAGCAGAAAAGCTTGAATGGCAGGCACTTACCAGCCTTATTTCTCACAATGGAAGATAACACAAAAAGGGTACGCAGCACGCATAAAAAAAATTAAGTGGAAACTTTCAAGAGGTGCAAGAAAACGTCGAATGCAAAACCGCAAAACGTAGGTAAAGATCCGCGCTGAGCGGGTCTTCACAGTCCCAGAGAGTGGCAGAAAAGTTCTAGCTGATAGAGGGCGCGAGAGTCGCACTAGTCGCATCAGCATCAGCAACATGGCGGCGGCCTAGGAGCGTTTTTTGGAAAGGTGTATAGGGAGGCTCTAGTGAGGGTGGGTGTAACCACTGATCTCAATGACAATTGCTGGATCGCGCTTGCCGCTCCTGCAAGTGAAGCCACCGGACGCAACCCCGCTGGGATACGATTTCCCGTTTTGCTAGCCTTTTGCTGCGGTTTTCCAGCGTGCTGTAGACACGTTTCCCACTCGTTCGTCGTCATTCGCCGAGGAAGTTTTTTGAGACTCTGTGTATTGTTGAGGCTTGCCGTTGTGACCACGTGAAAAATTTTACGAAAGTGCAGTGTCGCAGGAAAAAGGCACAACGCGTCGAAAGGAAGGGCTGGCGGCGTGTTCAAAGCTTCCTTGGCACGCCGAAGTGCCGTGTCTCTGTGCCTTCGCGCGCTTGGATACCGACCAAGAACCGACGCCGTGTGAATGTGTTTAGCGAGTGCAATGTGCGTGAAGCCGTATTGAAAGGTACAACTCGTCGAAAATGTGTCGCCGGTGTCGCGGCGTGATCAAAGCTTCCTTGGCACGCCGAGTGATGCATCTTTGTGCCTTCGCACGCTTGGATACCGGTCAAGAATTGACGCCGCGCCAAAGTGAAGTCCGGTGGCTTCACTTGCGCTGCAGGGTGCAACTCAAAACCTGGAGAGCGTTTGCAATTTAATGGCGGCGCCTGAGGGAGAGGATTCGGGAAAGGATATGCCCCAATGTTGCCTGCACGAGAGCAGACGCCCGCTCTGTTGCAACTCTGTTGCTCCATGCGCCTTTCCTCCTCTCGCCTCCCATTGCGAGCAACGAACGCCTTGTCGCAGCCTCTCTCGCTTCCTCCTCGCTCCGGGAATTGCAAACGTCGAGAGGAGAAAGCAGGGTTGCCAGACAAGCAGCAACGTCCAAGATGGCGGAATTTACCATTTTTCGCGTTAAAAAAATACTTAACCTATCGCAACAAACCCGGTGGCTATGGAAAAGTAATCATTTATACCTTGTGTAAATTATTCAAGCACCTTAATGAGCTCTTATGCCCTGAGTTAGGAAATAAAACGACCCTTTGCCCCATAGACTCCCAGCAAAATTTAGCAATTAAATGGCGTCCATGTCCCGTGATCCCCGATCTAGCAGTTGCACCCACCCTCACTTGAGCCTCCCTGATCTCTGCGGCTAACAGTATCCAAAAAATAGTGTATCATGTTTTCTACAGCGATCAAAATACAAATCTTGTCTTAGTTTTGAGTAAAAGCCTCAGGATTTGGTAAGGTCACGTGTCTAGTTGTCAAAACAGGGGAGTACAACCACTGATCTCTATAGTGCAACTTCCTATACCGCCCATGGAACGCAAATTGGAAAACCCTGGAGGCCGCAGCGCCATTTGAATCCCCTGGTATCTGGTGGCTGTACTAAAATAAATATGGCGGCACAGCGAAACCAAAACCGAAACTGCACGGCAGCGCCATTGTGTTTGGATGGATGGGCGGTAGCTTGCGCCACCTAGATTTAAAAAAAAAATATAAGGCAGACTAAAGTTCCTTCCCAAGGAGAGCTACGCCAGAAGGATGTACTACCACATCCGATATCAAGGGTTCAAGACAGGCTGGATGAAGAGAATAAAGGCCATAGATTCTAAGTACGGTGGGGGCACAATAAGGCATCTGGCGACGAAGGAACGGGAGTGGGCGAGGACAGTACGGACAGAGGTGACACGGGCCGGAATAGAGGACTGGAGAAGGACAATGCAGAAGAAACAGAACCTCCAACTGTACAGGAAACACAAGAAAGAACCACCACCCTATCCACACTACCGGGGAGACCGAGCCAGCGCGCTGCTGTTCCAGGCTCCCTACTGACCCAGAGACGCAGATTTGAGCTCTATGGAGAAGACCCAAACTGCGGGCTCTGTGGCGGCGACGAGGAGACTGTCGAACACATCTTGGGACAATGCAGTAGCATCGACCAGAAAGGGCAAAGCGCGTTGCAGTGCGGTGTAGAACAGGCCTTTGGCTACGGAGAAGAGGCCGAGGAGGGCAGCGGTGACGACGGTGACCGTAACAACCGCACGCATTCGACGGACGCAACAAAACGCCGCCTAGTGACATGGAACTTTGCCGCCCCGCGAAACACCCTGCCTAGAATGGAACGCCTGAACAACCTCAACAGTGCACATCAGAAGTGACTATTTTTTTATTTTATCTACGGTACCAGAGGCACTCCTCCTAGGAGCGCCCGCCCTGTTTTAAAAAGGTTTTGGTCCATCTGACTGACTGATGTAGCTTTTTTTTTATTTTTTTGCCCGGTTTGCGCGTGGCTTTGCTAGGCTTCTGCTGCTTTGCGGCTTGTTTTCGCATTTCAATGCTGGTTAATGTGCGTTGAAACGCACACAAGCCAGCACTGAAAAGCGAGACCAGCAGCAAAGCAGCAGAAACCTAGCAAAGCAACGAAAGTGACACATACACAAAAAATATGCAATGCTTGTCCTTTTGCGTTCATTTTTATTCAAAAGACAGTAGAAAATACAGACGAAATTTCTCACTATTTTGCACACAAGAATCAAAGAAATGAACAACAAATCAGGATAAAACGTTAAGGTTACGTGCGTCGAGGTGATGATATGCGTCATTGCAAAAACACTTCGCTAAATTTGCATAAAATCTCTAGGTTCGTGATCCTTTTCGAGCTTCTTGGCGTATACTCACAAGCCTTACACCGCCCAGCCACAGGCGTGGAGCCTACAAAAAAAGGTTGAATTGCTTGATTGGCCATTACGTGCATGATAGGGTCATATGAAAACCGCGAGAAGTTTCTGCGCCTCCTTTCAAAAAACGGTACTTATAGTTCAACACTGTGACACTAAAAACTCGTGTCTCCTCTATTTTTCTTCTCCTCGACTTAAATGCCTCCACGCTAAATTGACAATCATTTCGAATTTGATTATATAAGTAAGCATACAAGTAAAGAGCGACGACGGTGTCTTGCAACTAAAGGAAACTAAGCATTGAGGTCAAGAAAAATAGGTCAGCCCTTTGGTATTCAGTCTTCATCGAGAACCTGCATTCGTTTTCAATATTATCACTTAAATTTAGGAGTGCGTCACTGCTAAACGAAACGGGAAACCGGAGCGGATCGCTCCATCGCTCATCCTCAGTTAATCGAAAAATATTTAGGCTGATTTTCACTCCTCGCGAACAGACGCGTGAATCGCTGACAACAATGCCCCCCCCCCCCCCCAAAAAAAAAAAAAAAAAAAAAAAAAAACAGCTTACAGCAAAAAGTTTCCCATCTTTTAAAGTGAAGATATGTGCTCGATCTTGATATGACACAGAAGTCTCCAGTAATTTGAAAATGACATATTTCTCGCGGCGAGTGAAGAGCAATCCTGAACAATGATAGGATTTGGTTTTGTGATTGGA